AGCTATTTTGGCCAGAGGAGAAGAAAAGACAAAATTTTAAACTGGCAGGAGAGACAATATAAGGTTGGATTTCACTTCCATGTTAGTTTTGTGAGAAGTAGATCTGCTTTAGAAGAACATGGACAGCTAATACAAAGTATTGACCAAAATCCATGTAACAATAAAAGATGTTAATAGGAAAAAGATCATCTGTGAATTAGAGGACAAAAGTGTTGCAAAACTCTTCTTTAAGAATCACGTACTAGGTAGAGATTTTTCTACATATTGTCTTGTTTCATTAAAGAACAAGATTCAATTTTTGCCAGGGGGAAAGAGAAATATGGTTGGGAGATTTAAATTGAATATATAAAGCCATTTCCAGGAACGTCATTTCTCTTCTGTTAGCGTCCTTTGCTCTCTTTGACCTCGCTACCTCATTACAAATATGCTGGCAAAAATTATTACTTAAGCCATCTAATTTGCTTCTTTCCTGGTTCTAAACATCAGAGAAAAATCTGGCTCCATTTTAAAACAAGTGGGGAAAATATGAAGCAAAAGGATCATGGTTGGGAAAGATTTGCTCTCTTTGCAACCTCTTCTTGCTTGCAAAAGAATAGTAAGGCTCTCAGCAATGCCTTTTATGATCAATTTAGTATAATAAGGGAGAACCCTGCTAAAATGCCCCTGCAGTTTCCTTCAAATAAAATTGTGAGTGGGCATTTAACAGAGGGACAGTACATAGCAGCTAGGCAGCAGCTTTTCATAGGATTCCTCTGCTTTGAGCAAAAGACAGGTGGGCGCTTTCAACTTTTTCCACATCTATAGCTGATTTTGTTTTAGAGAAATCATCAAACTATCATAAAAATAGCTGGGATGAACCTTTGCCCCAATATTGTGGCCTTGTTAAAAAAATAACCATTTTAACCAAAGAAAAGGGTTGGAAAATACTTTCAGGGACCTTCCCTATCCTATTTGGTTATTGAAAAATTGGTGGTTGAAAATTTTTCTTTTCTAGCACTTGAAAAGCAGATGGAGATGCTTGGGTTTACAATATTTAAAAGTTTTCTAATGGTTGATTCTATATTCTAAGTGACTTTTATGCTCCTAGCTTGTACAGATCAGCTTGCTTCATCCCAAAATAAACATGTTCCATGAAGTAGAGAAATTGTTACACCAATTTCGTGTGCAAACTCTTATTCCTTGACTAATTGGCTTAAGGGTCAAAGAAGGGTAGGTTTGGCAACTGGTGTATCTTATGCAACAGCCTTAAACATGGTTATTTATGCTCATTTGTATATCCTTCATTTATTCAGATGGGAAGGGAGGAAGTAAAATAATAGAAATATATGAGTTTACTGCTGGATATCAGAGGAGAAAGAAGGAGTTGGGTTCCTTCCCCCTTCCTGTTCCCTCTAGAATTGATGGTAAGCTGTTTCAGCAACTGGAAGATTAATTTAAACTTAATAATCACAAAACTAGCAAATTGTGAACAGCAGCTACTATACTTGTTATAACAACTGTTGGAAATTGTTCAGCATCTGCTTGGGCAGGGTGGGGTTTGTGCTCTGTGAACTATAAAAGCTGAATGAAAAGCAATGCCTCCAATGTTATAAAGCACTTACGAACGATAGTATTGGTATGCTAGAAACTCTGGCGTGTTCTTTAGCATGTATTATTTCACTTCAGTTGGTAGTAAGTTGCTGTGAGAAAAAAATGGTGTGGGCATTGTTTATGAAATGGAAACCTGAAGTGAGTAATCATAAGTGAATTTAAACAACACACCATGGTTAAATTTTCAGTTGTCAAAAAAGAGTCCCTCCGGTTGAAATTCACCACCAAATTAGGTGGCAATTAGCATTGTGGATGTGAATACTGTGCATCACTGACACACACACACACACACACACAGCAAAAGTATAAAGATAATGCTGGGAAGAGCTGATTTGTGTGATCACGAATGCAGCAGATGACCTGTCAATTCCAAATGCAAAAGCTTGATAAACTTATTGGGTCACTCAAAGGAAATTGCTATCAAGCTTGGCATTTCACAAGAATATATGGATTACATTGCAGTATTGATGTTTTTCAGTATCAACGGTGTGCACATGACAAATTCCTTGCAAGTTGCAGGAGAGATGAAAGTTTTTGAGTTGTAATTTACTGGCAGTTATCACATACTGAAACTGAATATATAAAACATATAAAACTGAATAATTTAAAACCAAATAATTTACAGTTGACGAAACATGGGTCATCTTTATGACCAGGATTCGAAGGGTCAATCCATGTAATATAACGGAGGTTCAATTGGTAACAGAAAATTTTAAATCCAGGCTTCAATAGGAAAGTTTCCAGTATTGTGAACCACCCAGATCTGCTTAAGATGGGTGGCCGCATATAATTTTTTAAGAATTCCATTTTTACCCTTATAGATAGTATATGACTTCCTCAATCTCAGGTTCTCTAGCAGAGAGCTCTGATGTTGTTCCTGGGGTCCGTTGGAGCCATTCTCCGATCTTAGGAGACCCAGCCCTGAGTGCTCCCACCATCACTGGGACCACTTTGCCCCTTTTTTTCCACATTGTCTCTAGTTTCTTCTAAAGGCCTGATACTTTTCCAGCTTCTCATACTCCTTCTCATACTTGGAATTGCTACTACATCTATCGCCATCACTGTCTTCTGATGTATGTATGGTATGTACGTATGTATGTATGTTACATATATGCAATAGATGATTAGATAGATTAAATTAGATGATAGATAGATAGATGATAGATAGATAGATAGATAGATAAATAGATAAATAGATAAATAGATAAATAGATAAATAGATAAATAGATTATGTATGTGTGTATTTATGAAAGTCTACATACTACTGTTAAAATGCCAGGTTTTTTGAGCTGCAAAAAAATCAGACTAAGTTAAATCACTTCAGAATTTTTTCCACCTTTAATATAACATATATTGAAAAAAAACCACAATTTTTTTTGGACAGGGGGAGGGAATAACATTAAAAAATTGGAATAATGTGACTGCATAAGTGTTCACGCCCTCTTATAAGTAGGGATGTGACTGTGTTCAGAATTAATCACATTCAAACTGATGGTAAATAGAAGTCAGTACACACCTGCCATCAATTCAAGTGACTGATCAAGTCCATATAAAGTTCAGCTGTTCTAGTAGGATTTTTCTGATATTTACTCGGTTGCCTCTTACAGCAAAAGCCATGGTCTGTAAAGAGCGTTCAGAGCATGAAAAGGATCTCGTTGGAAGATATCAGAAGAGATGAGGTAAAGGAGTCCCTGTGGATTTTACTCTGCTAATCATTGCCAACTATAGGGGTGGGTGGGTGAAGCTCATCTTCGTTTCAAGGGCCATTGAGCCAGCACGAGCCAAAGACATTTCTGAATTGTGGCCAGCATGACATCATGGAGCACTGTTACATTTCCACCAAAGTGGTACCTATTTATCTACTTACATTTGCATGCTTTCGAACTGCTAGGTTGGCAGAAGCTAGGGTGAGGACAGGAGCTCACCCTGTTGTGCGATGCTCAGGTTTCGAACCTGGATTGTCGGCTTTCTAGCCAATAAGCCCAGTGTCTTAACTGCAGAGTTATCATGCTGCCCATATAAAGTAGGATTTTTCTGACATTTATAAGTTGCCTCTTAGAGCAAAAGTCATGCCAGTCAAAAGAAGGGTACAAAAAATTTCCAAGGCATTGGATATACCGTGGAACATGGTGAAGACATTAAAGAACAAGTAGAGAAAATATTGCACAATAGTGATATCACCAAGAACTGACTGCCCCTCCAAAACTGATGAAAAAACAAGAAGAAAAGTGGCCCGAGAGGCTGTCAAGAGGCCAACAGCGATATTA